GTTTACTTTAAGTCAACCAAAAGTCGATTCATTTTCTTCTCTTTTTCAAAGATTTTTCAATAGAGCCCAATTGACCTTCCTGTCCCATTTAGGTGCATACTTAAGTATGGGTTACCTTATTATTTTGTTGAAGAGAAAAACTGAGATAAAAAGTACTGTGCATGTTGCTGTTTTGCTTGTTTTTATACGTGTTTTGAAAGTGAAAATTCGGTCCTGAACTGCATCTTTCCTGGTTACTGTGCCATAGACCTTCCAGATACACAGTGATGAGTAACTTTTAGTTCTAGTTAGTAGCATAGAACCTGAAATTGTAATTCTTAACTATTAACATTGTTATTGTTCCGTGTTGTTGTAAGCTATAATGATTATTCACTAAACACTGCATGTTTTTTTTTTTTTCTGTTTAGGTCGTTTTTTTATTTTAATAGCAATGATATGGCTGTAGAAAGGAAAAATTACAAAGAAAGAACATTGAGGAAGGTGAGTATAAATTATATTTTTACAGGTATTAAGATTATTGACCCCCCCCCCCCTTCCCACTACTATTATTTTTATTGGGGGGTGACTAGGGTCTTTAGGAGCCTCTTGCAGTTGTAGGGGGATAACGGGGCTGGCACTAATTATGTTGAGGAATGGACAATGATATCTCAATCCCTGTGTTGTTTTTAATAACCCCTAACCAAAGCCCATAGGTGCAGTAGCATGTTTAAAGCCCTTTGTTTTAATATCACACACACAAAACCCATGTGTGGGTAGTGGGCAGTAGCATGTACATAGCCAATTTGTTTAAATACATTCTCACCCAAAGCCTGTGGGTGGGGCTATACAGGAGGTGGATGATAACAAGTCCCTCTTTCTGATTTTACATAGTCCTCACCCATCACTCAAATGTTGAGATAGAAGGTGGGGTGTCCCCTCCCAGCTATTATATTGTAGCCTATTCTTCTGTATTTACTTTTAAAGCCTCCAAATGATTGTCCCTTGAGCTGCTGTGTCACAGCGCAGGAGAAGCGTGATCACGTGGCCGCGCCTGATCAGCGCGTTCTCATTGGTTTTGGCTTATGGCCCTATAATGAGACTCACCTTGCAGCAGATTCTGATCCGGTCCGCCCTCTTTGCAGCTCCTGGCTGATGTGGCGTTTAGACGGCCGCTGCTGTTGTAGGGAGCCTATTTATAGCTCCGCCTCTGATTATGTCAAAATTGATGCAATTGTGCATGCATAATCTCATGCACTTTTGGCATCACAAGGTGAGCTCTGGCCAATCTTTGTCCTCCTAAGGAAATTTAAACTCATTTTAGGTTTTGAGTTTTTGTCATGGTTTTCATTTCTTTGGTTAATCCGAGAGCGTGTTATTTCTTGTTTATCTCTGGCTTATTTGACCTTGGCTTTTCTTTGACCATTCTACTATCCATTGTCCTTGACCTTGATTTCAGCTGTCTGGCAGCTTTTGGCCTGCTCCACGAAGTCAAGCTATTGTTATATACTGTGTACAATGTACAGATTTTTCAGTGCAATTGGCCTCATATTGCACCGCATGGTTTTCCCCATTTTGGTAAAGGGCAATTCGGACTTTAGGGAATAACCCTGAATAATGTATACCGTATTTGCTGTCCAGAAACACTAAGTTTATCTTTTCATTTTGCTTTTGTGTCCTGAGGTTGACTGAACTACAATTCAGTTCAAAGTCACAATCCATGAAGTCTTTTCATCTTTAAACAATCACATAGCAAATAACTTTTATGTAAATCAACATCTCTTAAAGGAAATGAAAACATAAAATGCTATTCACTTAACTTTCTTGTTAGTGTCATACACTCCTAATGTAGGTTAGGCCATACCTAGGCAAATTTCTAAGTGAATCATAGCATGCACCATTTATAATGCATAATACACATGTGATGTAAGTGAAACACGGAAAAGCTTGCAGTTTGTTAAAATCTTATAAAACAAAAACAAATACTTAAGAAAATAACAAGAAAAAAATATATCCACCTATTAATTATTTACTGAATCCTGACAGCTATCTCACATAGGTGTCTCTCCACAAGATAAAAGTTGTATGAAAAAAATGTAAATTAGGTCATTTCAAAACAGGTAGCCATTCTATGAAAGGAACACAAAAGCATTAGGAATACATAACTGTATCCATTGTGCTTTAGTGACCCTCTTCCTCAACAGTCCCTCTCCCTACCCACGGTGTTGAGATGGTTAAAAAACCCTTTTAACACTTACCTTAATTCCAGCGTCCAGGTCCCTCTGATGGATGACATAATGCGCATGTGCAGAGAACCAGTGCTTTCCTATTGGGCTTTGAAGACGATAGATGTCCTCATGCAATGAGTGAGAACTTCCAACATCATTTCATGAAGTTAAACTCTGTGAGGAACCAGGAAGTGCCTCTAACAGCTGTCTGGGAGACAGCGACTAGAGGTTGTTTTAACCCTGCAATTCAAACATTGTAGTTTCTCTGAGACTGCAATGTTTTACATTGCAGGGTTAAGGGGACAGGGACACTGCACCCAGACTGCTTTAATGAGATGGCATGGTCTGGGAGCCTCTAGTGTCCCTTTACACAATGTGTAACATATGGGGAGAATGACTTCATCCAAGTTTAAAATAAAGTTGTCAGGATTACTAGTTGATCCAGCACATAGAATTGTGTCACACAGATGTCTGATAGGTAACGTATTACCGGGCCTTAGAATGGCCGGACTTAACGTACCATAGAGTAGTCAGGATACTTGCCGAGGTCAGGGGATACAGAAAGAGACACAGGATACTTGCCGAGGTCAAGGGATACAGAAAGAGACACAAAGATAAGGGAAAGCCAAGTTTCAGAGATACCAGAATACAGAGAAGTCAAAATCAAAGCCAAAGTAAAAAACCAGAAGAAACTTGAATCAGGAACATGCTCTCGGACAACCACTAGGGAAACCATGACAGGGCACTGAGCAAGATGATAACTGGGCCCCTCCTCTGGATCTGATAGGCTGTAATTGGCCTTTGACCCAAAAGGCAGTTACCAGGTTCCTATTTGCATGATTGCTGCTCAGCACAAACCCTCCTGTGGATTTGGTTGTTGCTCGCACAACTTTTCCTGTCAGAACAGTAAATGTCATTAATCACATTTTTATATGCGGATGAATATGTGACAAAAGTCAGGTTAGGTCATGTTGAAGGTATCTTTAAATCCCTCTGAAAGCTGATTCGCTGTCATGCATTGCATATTGATAGTAGACATGGAAAAGTCCACTGTTAGTTTCCTCTAATTTTATGTACCTTCTTAAATCTATTTATTCCATGTCACTGTGGTATTAAAGACTTACCCTCCTAAAATATTACCTCCTACCTCCTACCATGCCTTAACTAAATGTGCGTGTTTGGTATTGTGGGGGTTGTTTGCTGGTCTGTGTGATTGGCAAGCCAGCAGAGGGGCATTTATACCTGTACATTCCGTGATTTCTGTAAGCAGTGAAGCAGTCCATGAATAGTAACTGGTTGGCCTCCGGACTGTCTGATTGCCCTAGGAGCCTGTCACAGTGTTAGCACACCTTATATAACAGCTAAAGCAAAATGATCACTGTAACTTAGAGAGAGTTAAAAATAGTGTCATATTGTGTCAATGTTTGATTTTTGTCAGTAGGGTGGCAGAGATATGGTGACCTCTACAGATGGTGTCTCAGGGGAGCAGGCAAAGTGGCATGCCAAAAGTAAGGGCAGCAATCACAAAGATATATAAGTGAAGTATTGTTGTGCTCCGGGGATGATACAATACAATACGATTCCTGGGTCTTAGAAGTAGCAGCACATGCAGAGCCTGTAAAATTCCCCATAAGAAAAAACATTAAATGTACATCTAAATTCTCTATTTTTCAGGATTTTCATTTTCTATTGCTCACCAAAAAAATCTGTTTCAAATGGCATCCCAACAAGAGCATGGCTTGATGATTTGATTTTTAAAAGCACATAATTGTCCTGTGCAATCTAGTGAGTTCTAATTCACATAGTCTTGTGTGGGGGTATTTTTATATTATTTTTATGTTTTATTTTTATTAATATAGAGACTGGAAATAAATATTGAGAAAATAAGAAAACACAACAATAAAATTGGAGAGAATGGGAAAAACAATTCAATATGGAGGATCGAGAATGTGCGAGGAAAAATACAGTGAGCTGGCGTGTGTCACTAACATAGAGGACACCAACCATAAAAATCAAGGTCACCAAGGTCACACTAGAAGAGTGAAGAAAGGAAGGGGGAAAACAGTTGTTAGAGTGATTTGATATATAATAATACTAAGCTCCAATCAATCATAAAAAAATAAAACTGCTTAAACCAAATAAATTAATAAAAACAAAAGTGAACGATAATATGGAGATAGTTACATTGAAATTTTACTGTCATAAACTGTTAAGAGTAAACTATGCCTGTAAAATTAGTACTTTAAGGTAACATGACTGCTTCATGTGATATCGAACACTAGACCTTATTAATATTAATATAAAATGTTGCTTTTTAAAGAGAAAAACAGAACTGCCCTTACTAATATTTCACCATCAACTACAAGTTTAGTATATTATCTCCTTTGACTTTATTGGGACTATTTTGACCATTTTTTACAGATACTTTTTTATCCGTAAGCAACACTGTGACCTTTTTTATTGCCTGTTATATGTATATATTTGTTCCACTTTTTTCTTTTGTATACTAGACATTATTGGGATTAAAAAAAAAAAAAAATGCTTTTTCTATTAAATAAACAAGATATTATCAAAACCATTAACATTCTAAAACCACCATGATAGATGGAAACAATCACACAAAACGTAAAATATTTTGGTGTCATGTGCTTTAATGGTATGAATCATGTCACTCTTTTTTTTCATATTATGTTCAGAAATTAAATTATTTTCATGTGACGCATGTTGTGGCCCTAATGAGTGGCATGTAAGTCCTCAGGAGACCATTCTCTAAATCTAACACACCTGTCCAATAACTTTCACTTTGACTACGTGCTATATGCAAATAAATTATTTTGTTCCCTGTGAATGATTGACACTGAGTAAATACAGAGATACTTCCTCTTAGCTGGTGTCAAAAAATCCCCTGTACCATCAATGAGAAATGTATTCTTGTGATGTTGGGTGTCACCATGACATGATCCCGCCTCTCTAGATATCAGCCCACCACAGGTGACATTCCATTCATCACTATAAAGCAGGGATGCAGGACCGCATCAACAGCATCAGTCTGGTGAGTACTGATAAGACTGTCCGATTGACTGATACAAGCTATTTACGATGAGTGACTTATATTATTTATCTTTCCATAGAGTGAACAAAATGGCTTTTCAGCACATTCTATTCGGGATTCTGCTGGTGGTCACTGCTGGAATTCAGAGCACGTTTGCTGGTAAATCCATCTTCTGTCTTCTTCACTAGTTTTAAGACCAAAAGTATTTAAAATAACTTTGACTTCCTTTTGTAAATGAACACCATGACGGTATCAAGCAGCAGCTAACGATGCTACAGACACCTTGACTAAACCTAAAGCATTGGTTAGATACTTTAGATGGTTTGTGAATATTAAGTGAATAATCTCCCTGCGATTGGAACTTAGAAAAGCACGTCAGAGCTTGAAATATGACAAACTATTGGTTGTTTTCAAAAATATATATATTTTTTCTTGTTTAGTTAAATATATATTTTTATTCTAAAATTAATATGTGTTCTAGTACTGTGCATTTATTTGGTGCAAATTTAATCTTACATGTATTTACGAGTATAATTAAAATGTAATATAAGTTAAAGATTCTTTAACATGACAAAACCAAAGCTTAAAATTTCTACTATCTTGAAATACTAAGTGTTAGATCTAATGAAGATTAGAATCTTTTTAATTGTATGTGTACTGGCATAAAACAATTACATAAATATTTTATTGATATCAGTTTGCCATCAGATAAAAAAAAAAAGAGAGAGATTGAAAAAAAGAGATTGTTTGTCAACACATCACTGATACACGAAACATAGAAACATAGAATGTGATGGCAGCATGTAAATGAATGTAAAGCAGATACAATAGCCTGGAGGGAACAACTTTACGAAGGTATCTCGTAGACGTAGAGTGTTCATACAGAGAATATTTTACCATTTATAATATATTAGGTAAAAAAAAAAAAAGAACAGAAGTGCATCACACATTACTCTCAATGCAGAATAAGGCAAAAAACACATGTTGATTAAATGAATTCCGTAAATTGGCTTTAACTGTAATAAAGTCGTAATAAAAAAAAAATACATTTTATATAGTTGTCACAAATTGAAAATGTTGCATAATGAGATTTCCAGTTTGTGTTGCTTTATATGATTTTCTGTTTTCTTTTTTTTTATCTTTTCTTTTAAAAAGACGCAGATGAGGTTGACGATTCCCTCATTAGGGACTGTGGAAAAGAAGTAAATGTCCTTATCGACAGAGCCTATAAAACCACAAGGGACAAGTAAGGTTTTACAATGTGATTGCCAAACAATAGAGCATCAATACGTATTGTCAAACCAGGTCCAACCAGGGGATTGCGGGAGTGGGATTGGTGTAGGCTGGAACCCCTAGTGGGGTCCTAACAAGCCCTGTGCTTGAGTCTGGCATCCTTTTATTGTCAGACCTAGACATTTCAAAAGAAAACCAACACATCCAATGATAACAGTGCCACTCTAATGCACAAAATCTGGCAGTAATTATACAGGACAGTTTGGGGTGTTGCTGGGGGAGCAGGATTTTAGTGCAGTGGGTGCAGGTTTAATGATGTAAAGTCTGTGGGTGCAGGTTTGATTCAGCATAATGTAGGGTAAATACAGCATGTGTGGAGTTTATAAACACAGGTTTATATAATTAATTCCAGTATTTGGTGTGACATTGTGGTTTATTAATTATGTTAGGGTTTAGATTTGAATAAAGAGCATAGTATAGAATGAGGTTGTGGGAAGGGTTTGAATCAATACATGTGGGGTGGACCATAAAAGGTATCTTTGGACTTAAATCGTTGGTATCTTTCCCATCTATCAACTCCACTGGGGCCAACAAGGCTCAACATTTGTTGTGTGAGTTAACCCACTAACGATGGCTTTGGATTTTGATAGAGTTTTCTGTCTTAGTGTGGGTGGGGGGGTTGTTGCCCTGGAAGTCTTGGATTTAGTTTATATATATTTCTTGACACTTATAGATTTGACAGTCAGTTTACATCTCTTTATATCAAAGTGCCAACACGAAAAATTAATAACTCAAAGCCTCTCATCTCTCTCAGTTTCAAGGGACGGCTAAACAAGAAGACCGCAACTGCTGGTGATCTCTTGGCGTATGTCAAGCAGCCGGTGGGAGCGAGCAGGAATGCTATCCGAGCTGCTGAAAACCAGGGTGCCCTCCTTCAGCTCCTAGCTGAAAAACTCAAACTTACTCACCATGGGCCGTTCAATGTAACAGGTGCGTGAGAGACATCGCTTAGTTATACGTTTCTATAGTCTCAAAGGCTTATTCTTTAAAGTGAATTTCATTGTACCTAAACTGGAATCATAGTTAATTTAGAGAATGTTTTCAGTTCAGCTATTTTTACCCTAAAATTTGAACCCTTACTTTAAAATCACTTTAAATTCTGCTAAGTAAATAGCTAATTTAAGTTAAGCTATCAAGAAGAGCAACATTAAACAGTGCTATCAAAGCCTTAATTGCATAAGCAACTTTATCTTAACCCCTTAAGGACACATTACATGTATGACATGTCAGGATTCCCTTTTATTCCAGAAGTTTGGTCCTTAAGGGGTTAATGAAGCAGTTCTGGTGTGTAGATCATGTCACTGCAGTCTTACTGCTCAATTATCTGCCATTTAGGAGTTAAATCAATTTTGTTTATGTCTATGCTGCCCTAGCCACAACTCTTCTAGCTGTGACTCTCACAGCCTAGTGACTGAAAAAAGTTGAATTTCTTTAAGATCTTACAGCATAGTGTGTTTACCTTAGAAGTTATTATTTCTTGCTCTGTTAATTGTTAAAAAGCAAGAGATAGATAATTCTAAATTAAACACACTGTGCAATAAAGAAAGTTGAAAAACTAGATATCTCTTTGCAGGAAGTGTATAGGGAAGCTGTGTATGATGTTACCCACACCATATCATCTTCACTGCAGCCATGTTGCCTCTTTGGTTGTGCTAATATGTGCAGACAAATACACTTACTGATACACACGTATATATATACTCTGATACAGCACACATATTCCAGATACACTCACTCATATAACTGCCAGAAAAACAAACACAAGGAGACCTACATTCTGAGGCACACACAGATAAACAATGTTAGATATATATGTTGATATATATATATATATATATATATGTGTGTGTGTGTGTGTGTGTTAATATATATATGTATGTGTGAGTGTACACACACAAAAATACCAAAATACATTCTCATATACATACACACTTATACATGCTGACCGACACACACTGCTACACACACACACATATACAATGTCAGTAACACATATACTGAAGCAGGCACATATAAATATACATGCATTCTTAGAACTTTCTTGCTGCCCTCCTCCACACACATTTACCCTGGTGATGTAGTGATGATAATGTGCTGTAAGACCAGCCGCAGCCATCAGACAGTCTATCAGCACATGTTGCATCCTTGTTCCATTTAATGTAAAGTGCAGATCCACACGGTGATGGAGCAGATAAATCAGTCTCACCTCTGCCAGTCCCCCAACAGCCACCCTCCGATTATCCTCTTATCTAGAAACAAAGGTGGTTGGTTCTGTGCCCAGCAGTTCCAGCAAGCTTCCATAGCATCTATTGACTGAGAGCATTGGAGGATGTCTTGTCATGTTATATCCTTTCAGTGCTATGAAAAAAGGGTGAGGAGAGAAGGAGCTACCTCATGCAGGGAATAAATTGTTTTAGATGTTATACAGTACCACTTGCCTTGAAATATTTCAAGTGGCACAAGCAAAGGTCTAGAAGACATAGAAAAGTGGGGTACAGTATTAATTTTAATAACATTTATATGGACATTCCATGTAATTTAGGGGAGTGCCCAGCATTTTAGATTTGTGGCCATATACTACAGTAGCAGTCATAAATTGGTTGTCAAGTGAGGAGTGCGGGGTACTTAAGGCGATAAGATTGCCATCGGAAGGGAAATGAGGTAGAGATTTGGGTCTGAGGTGGGAAATGAGGAGTTGTGTAGCCAGAAACAAAAGGTTGTCTTGACATGCCATGATCAAGGGGTGATTCCATGTTTAAAAAGGGTCCAAGGGTGAGGGCAAAGAGTAAAGAGGAAACATGAGGACCTTGACCTCCTTTGCAAAGAGCAATAGGTTTTGAGAGGGATCAAATTATATTTTTCTGGGCCATTGGGGATATGTTGAGTGGAAGAATATGTTTTATTTTTGTCAGTGGTTGAGGCAAGAAAATAAACGTGGGCTTTTCTAATGCACTTAATGGCAATTTTGGTATTCTGTCATCAGAAAATCAAAACAATATCTATATATAGGTATATTAGATCTATTAAGTTCTGTCCTAATGTGTTTTACACCCCACCTCCTATAGACTGTAAGCTCGTTTGAGCAGGACCCACTTCAACCTATCGTTCCTGTAAGTTTGCTTGTACTTGTCCTATTTATAGTTAAATTCCCCCCTCTAATAATATTGTAAAGCGCTACGGAACCTGTTTGCGCTATATAAATGACGATAATAATAATAATAATAATAAATGTTTGACGTGTCTATTATAGTTGCATTAAATCATATAATACCTATTAGCCCCTCTACCACCTTACTACATAAGCTGAATGTGTTTTTTTTCTGAATTTAAAACTCACATAGTGAAGTCAGGATGTGACACAATATACAAAAATAATTTTCCAAAATATTATACTTATACATATGTACTATTTTCCATACCCTCTAAAAAGACCAGAGTTAAAATATTGCATGGAGAACAATGCATAAAGTCTTAAGAGTCTGTTTAGACTTGCTCAGTTTTAGTTACTCTCCATTTAAGTATCTCAGGTTGCTGTGTGTCCCTAATAAATATGTTGGTTCCAAGCTAGCCATGGTCACCTTAGAGTTCTTCCTCCTGCATAATTGTACTCAACTGACTCTTAGATTGGAAGCTTTGATCCATAGTAATTTGCAATGCCTTAAATTATAAATAGAATGGGAATACTAAAATTTAAGATCTACTTGTGGTAAATAATATTTCAATATAGATAGAGATATAGCCCTAGACCAATTTGAAGATGGTTTAATAGTCCCATGTTTGCAAGGAGATTTTAACAGAGGTAATCATTTTGGCAATTTTTGGGAGTATTTCTTTACTTGAATGGGGATAAAGTTTGATATGACATCGACCATCGTTTCCCAATTTGTGTTTTTCAGCGGAACCCCATGGAGAACAAAAATAAATGGGGTTTCGACGCTATTTGCCCATCAGGTGGCCCATGTAGATAAAGCATCCAATAAGTATTAATGCCGAACAGGGGCCCGGTTTAAGCGTGCGACCGTGTCCCTTTAGTATCGGATGCTGGGAGGAAGTGACAGTCAGTTACCCCCTTACCCGCTTTGTTTTCTTTCTGTACCCCTTTTATCTCATTTGTTACTGTTTATTACAAGTAAAAACCTGTTTATTATAAATAGATTGTAAAGCAATTTTATGATACAAACTATGTCAAAATACAATGGTGCCATGTTACAGTTTAATTGGTAAAAATTTTATCTTTCAGATTTGCTAACACCAAAGCAGTACGAACTTATCTCACAGATAACAGGCTGCGCCTCGCAGCTTATTCCAAAAGTTTGTAAGGACAGCCCTTATCGCACCATCACTGGAGAGTGTAACAACAGGTAAGAGTTCCCTATTTCCCTTGTACAAAAAAAATATAACCCAACATTTAGAAAGCCTCTCTATAGTAACCTACAATATCCTTAGAAGTGAATTTTGAAAGTCTTCAAAAAGAGAATTTTGACATCATTGCAATTTTGCAGCATAGACAGCTGACAATAATCACAATGACATTGTGCCCACCAGGGTATACAAGGAACTGCTATCTTATTTCCTCAGTTTTAGTGAGGAATTTAGCACATTTCAAATGTTATATGTTTGCTTAATAGGAAGTATCCCAGCCGTGGCGCTTCCAACACTGGCTACAAACGATTGCTACCAGCTGAATACGAAGATGGTTTTTACCGTCCTCGAGGCTGGACTGAAAACAAGGCCTTTAATGGATTCGCTCTTCCACTGGTAATATTAACAGCATGCTTTAATTCAATCCCACTTTCAATTCTCTCTCACTGATAGGAGTCATTGCTTACCATTGTTTAAGTAACAACCCAGTATCTCATATTTGTCTCTGTGCTGCACCCATCCTTTTATAAATGTACTCTGAATCCAAATTCTCATTCTGTGAGGTGAGAGGCTTACAACAGGTTATTACAAATTATGGCAATCATTCAAAGTAGCTCAAATAAAGATTCACCTGTGTGTGAATACATATATACAATTTGCCTATTATGCAGAATAAGTTTAAAATACACAATGCAGGGCATTCTTTAGAGAAGATCTGTAAATCTAACTCTAAAATGTTTGGCATTGTGCCCGCCTAAGCCTGGGTGATAGGCCATCTCCTCCTTGGAAGTTTAAATTTGACCATATTTTAAGTCTGATCATGACCCTTAAGAGAAAAGGTCTTCCTCTTACATACCATTAGTAGAGGTCATGATGTTAGTGTTAATGTAAATCTGTAGCTCACTGTATTTGTTTTAATAATTATTAATTCATTGGTTTAAACAGGCACGTGCAGTATCGAATGAAGTTGTCCAATTCCCTACTGAGAGCATAACATTAGACGAAGATAGAGCCCTCATGTTCATGCAGTGGGGGCAATGGACAGATCATGACCTTGACCTGGCTGCCTCTAGTCCTGCCAGGTTAACCTTCTTGAAGAGTGTGGACTGTGAAACTACCTGTGTCCGCGAAAGCCCCTGTTTTCCCTTGAAGGTAGCTGCTTCATTTTTTTAAAAGTACTATTTCATCTTTACTGGTTAGATAAATGCTTCATGTAAGTATATAGGAAACACCTGCATTTTTAAGAGTAGATCTTGTGTAATCTGGCAGCCAATTCAGACACTAAAATGAAAAATTGTCAGAAGAGGAACCTGAGCTGACGGAGAATTTTTCCAGTTTAGCTATTTTTGGGCTTAGTTTTCAAATTCACATTGAATTTCTGACAATTTTCACTTTAGTAAATAACCTCGACAATGTTTCACAAAACCATTGTAACCCTGTATATCACCCTGCTAGTCCGATCATAACGTATGGAGTAGAAATGCATTAACTGACTAAATATTTTGCCATTCCTCATCCTGATTATATACTAACTTGAGAAGAAATTGCTAAAACAAAAAATGAAATATAATTTAAAGTATATGATCAAAATCCTGATAGCACCCATTTAAAATATCACAGACTAGTACTAATATAGTTCTTTGTTTGAAGATTCCACCAAACGATCCTCGCATTAAGAATCAGAGTGACTGCATCCCATTCTTTCGATCAGCTCCAGTTTGTAAAAAAGGATCTCAAGTTCGTGAGCAGATCAACACTCTAACAGCTTACATAGACGGAAGCCAGATTTATGGCAGTGATGCTCAAACTGCAGAGAAACTACGCAACAACACAAACCAGCTGGGTCTTATGGCAGTTAACAAAAACTTCACCGACAATGGCCTCTCATTCTTGCCCTTTGATACCGTTAGTGAAGATGTGTGTGTCACAGCTAATGTATCAGCTGGTATCCCCTGTTTTATTGCAGGTAAGGTAACAGATTGAATATACGCAAGAGAGACAGACAGACAAATAAAGGGACTGCATGTTTTTGATTATTTTAAATTCTGCAAAATTGAAAGAGACCTGAAAAATGCGTTGCTTTTCCTTAAAATGTCCAAAGGCCGTAGCCTTTGGACATTCATTTTAAGATCTTATTATGTTTAATGGTAAATTATTATAGCTCATCTCCACTGCTTTTTTTTTTTTGTTGAAAGGGACACTATAGGTACCCAGACCACTTCATCTCAATGAAGTGGTCTGGGTACTGTGTCCCTATTGCATTTAGTACTGCAATGTAAAACATTGCAGTTTTAGAGAAACTGCAATGCTTACATTGCAGCACTAAGACAGCCTGTAATGATTGTCCACCAGACAGCTACTAGAGGCCCTTCCGGAATGTTACCAGACTTTTGGTCCACTAACTGATGCTGGACGTCCTCACGCTCTACATGAGGATATCCAGCGTCAGCTGTTTCCCCATAGGAAAGTATTGATAGAGCCCCCTCTTTAATAGACGTCGGAGGAGGCCGAGCCGTGTGCCAGCTCCGAAGGGCAGCGCTAGGATCAGGTAAATAAATAAAGTTTTTTTTTAACCCTTTATTTACCGTGGCAGAAGGGAGGCAGAGGGAGCTATAGTACCAGGGATACAGCTATAGTATCTCTTTAAGCTTGTCTGATCTATAATTCCCAGATATTTTTTAGTGTGGATAAGTGATTTAATGTTTCTTAATTATCAACCTTAATAACTTAAAGGGAAAATATAGGCTAGGAATACAAACTCTTTTGTCACTTACCTGATTCCAGAACTCATTTGTCACGTACCTGATTCCAGCATCGATGCTCCTTGGCGATGTGTCAGTTTTTGCCTCACCTCGTCCTCCCCCGACATCAGCTGACAATGGGGAACTTATCTGCATGCGCGATGAGGGCCGCGCTCACATTAGGACAAGCCCATTGAGTCAATGCTTTCATTTGGAGTTTTAGCTGATGTTGGATGTCCTCATGCACAGGATGTCCAGCATCAGTTGGGCAACCAAAAGTTGTCAAATGACCTGGAAGCACCTCTAGTGGCTGATTGGTAGACAGCCACTGGAGGCGCAGTTACCCCTGCAATGTCTTATTGCAGTTTCTCGATAACTGCAATAATTACAACTGTAGGGTTAAAATGACAATGAGCTGAAGTGGTCTGGGTGTCTATAGTGTCTATTTAATAAACTTAATAAATAATACCTACAACTGAAACAAGTCTACTTCATTCTGCAAGCAAAATAGTAAGATGAATATTTTTCCCTATCTGAAAAGTGATGTGATATGTATGACATTTTGGAAGGAATCTAAATTGAAATAGTTTTGCAACTTAAAAAGACCTTCATTTGTTGTAGGAGACCCACGAGTCAGTGAACAGCCTGGTCTTACATCTTTCCATACCCTATTTGTGAGGGAACACAACCGAATTTCATCTGAGTTGCACAAGTTAAATCCAAAATGGTCAGGGGAAACTTTGTATCAAGAAACTCGGAAGATCATTGGTGGAATCTTGCAGGTGTGTTATAGTCATCAGATTACATTCTAACTTCTGTAAACAGCACATTTCTTACCTACCAGTTATTAATCTGTTTTGTTTGCCTTCGTATATCTAACAGAAAATAACATACAAAGACTGGCTTCCTTTACTGCTTGGATCAGAGCTCCCTAATGTCCTACCTCCATATAAATCCTATAATGAGTCTGAGGACTCAAGCGTGGCCAATGTCTTTACTATTGCGTTTCGGATGGGCCATACGTTGATACAGCCATTTATCTACCGTCTAGCTGATGGGTACCGTCCATATACACCAGAACCAAAGACGCTTCTTCACAAGACGTTCTTCTCCACCTGGAGATTCATTCAACAAGGTAACATAACACTATTTGTCTTACCCCATCATAGATATGTTATCATTAAAATGTACTTCTAGGTCATATAAATCAGAGTTTTATTGAGAGAATTTCTTCTAATAAAACAATATATTCCAGATCATTGTAAGTGTTATTTAATATAATTAAATTATGATAATGTTATTGTAACTAATATAAATAAAATTAAATTTGCAGAATTGTGATATATAAGTACTTGAAAATCAGAAATAAAATCATAATATTAAAAAAAATGTAGACACAAACATTTTTACTGAACCTGCCACGTTTAGAGTAATATCTACAGAAAATTATTACAAAGAAGAAGATCAAGCAATACACTTGACAAATTGTACATCTTTAACTTAATTTGAAGATCACATAAACTTGCTATTAACATTTGTCCATAAATGTTACATATGACAGGCGGCATTGATCCACTGCTCCGTGGCCTGATGGCAAATCGAGCCAAACTAAACCGTCAAAACCAACTGGTGGTTGATGAACTGAGGGATCATCTTTTCGAGATTATTAAACGTATTGGCCTTGACCTAACAGCTCTAAATATGCAACGAGGCCGTGATCATGGCTTGCGAGGTAGGTCTAGAAAATACTTTCCAAACTTCAAGACACATTTGTAAATATTTGCATGAGAGACTTTTCATTTCTTTTGACACCCATGTTTCAGTCCATCAGATGTCTTTAGAAACTTCTTTACATAGGTTTATCAGATTGTGAATTCCTTGTGTAATGCACTTATTTTTACTCCCCAGGATACAATTCATGGAGGAGGTTTTGTGGTTTATCTGCTCCACGCAATCTGAAAGAGTTGACCGATGTGTTAAATAACAAGGAGCTGGCAAAAAAGTTTATGAATCTATATGGAACACCTGAAAACATAGACATCTGGGTTGGAGGAGTCGCGGAACCCTTGGTTCCGGGAGGCAGAATTGGAAAACTACTCACCTGTCTGATTGGGAACCAGTTCCGTAGGGGTCGACAAGGAGACAGGTATGGGACTGAGGCATCTATATATAAACAGTCTATCATAAGCAACAACAAAAAACTACACTTTGTTTAGAGAAAAAAAAAGAGAAAAATGTAATTACAAACTGCAAAAGGATTGGATTATAATACGGGTCATGTACGGAAAGATCACCCGAATCAAGAGAAATAATAACTAATTTTGAAGAGTTAATAAAACAATATTGTGTTCCCACTGGAAACAGTCTTGCTTAATATGTGCAAATGCCGGCTTACACATGTTTGATAGTCTAGATCTAGCTTAATTGTTGAATTGTTAACAAGTTAGATAGACAAAGCCAAACTTGAAAGTTGTGGAAATCCTGATTTAATAAAGGTCAGAGAGAAATTATAGATGCCATAGAAGTTCTATTGTATAGAAAGGCGTTTAGTTAACAGAACATATTTAGTTTTTTGCATGTACTTAAGGTTTAATCTTTAGTAATATTTTCATGAGAACAATGATGGATATATCAAAAGATAACTAAAAAGAAGAAACATTAGATCTAATTTTACAGTTTGTATATTTATACTGTAGAAAATTCAAAATGTTGAAAACATTTAACCAAAAATACCTTGTTTAACTTGTAAGTTAAGTTGTGTATATTTTTCTCTGTGCAGGTTTTACTATGAAAATCCCTCAGTTTTTACTGTTGCTCAGAGGAATGCCATAGAGAAGGTGACTCTGGCGCGCATCATCTGTGAAAACACTAAAATTAATGAGGTCCCTCTAAATGTCTTCATGGGAAATAGCTACCCAAAAGACTTTGTAAAGTGCTCTACAATCCCAGCACTAAACCTGAAGCTTTGGAAGGCGTAATGTTGTAAGTTGTCAAAATATTGATAAGAATCAAAATTCTACTAAAACTTGTACACAAATATCTTACTGTTCAAATATTTTACTGTGTTTGAAGTATTCTTATCCCACTATAGCTCGAAGTTAAAATTGTATTCAAAATTACATAGTGGTACTTTCTACAAAACACAATTTAATCTATACATAATATTTGCAACTGCCATCACAAGTTTTGTGACCCCCTACAAAACCACTGGACAGTCTCCCTAACACACATTCCCAGATGTACGCACATACTCATTACTAGATACAAATACTAACACATGCTCGCTCATACAGTCACAGATAAAGGCACATAAATATGTTAACAAACACACATACATAGAAATTCACTCACAGACACATAAGCACACAGAAATAAGCTCACAGACACACACACACACAAAGAAATACACATTTGTTTTCATGCGTTGGTAATGTTACAAATCCCTTATTATATTTGATTACTTTACTGAAACAGGGCCAGTCACCCAATCACTTTGTTCACTTTAACAGATTTGCAAAAGTGAGACAGGTTACTTAAAGAATGATTTCCAGTTAGAAAGCTGTCCAATGTCTTTACTTTAATATTACCGATGTTAGTTTTTAATTATTAAAGTAGCGCTGTCATTGAATATGTCTGAAATGTTTAAAAGACACTAACATATCATTTTAAACTGAATTATTTTTCTTTTTTTTTTAAATTCCCTTTTTGAATTTTTTTTTCATAATAATATTTTAACTATTTCTACCTAATCTATATTTATAGTGGGAAGAATACACTTCCAGATAAATAACATTATATTTTAATCTTCCATGTACAATGGAATGTTGGGAGCTACTCAGATTACAAATTACAGTTTCTGATTGGCTGCTGACATCATACACTTCATTTAGACTCTTTTCTTAATTTATATTCTGGTCATCAAGGGTTAAAAAACTGAGATGTAATTTCATGACTTCTAAGTTATAGCTTAGTGAGTTGAATATACATATGTATTTTTAATATTGTTCAACTGACTTTCTATGAACATTCTAGCGACAGCCTACTCACTACACACAAAAAAATATATAAATAGACAAAAAATTATTAATTTTCTCCCTGGTCTTAGACCTCAGTTAACCCTGTTTCACAATATTATCCAATCAAACTTTACATCAGATTATTTTTTTTTATGTCTGAACATTCTTAAATTCACGGAGCCAAAATTCAGTCTGATACACATCTACATTTTTATGTGCTATACTGTGCATTATGATCAAACAGGAAGAAATACTAAAGATTTTATCATCTTTCTGTTCTAGATGTTCTTCAGTAGAAATACGGAAGATCTGCCAAGACTGTGCTACTTAGCTCCCAAGTTTATTATTCTGACAGCTAGTCTTCCGCACAAATTTGCGTAAATATATATATTTAATTGGACGTCAACTAAAAAATATACATGTCACCACGAGCTGTAATTGAACATTTTAACTTGTCTATAATGTATTTCAGAATATTACAGTTTAATATCTGGTTGAGTATATTTGTATATAATATATTATATGATATTATAAATAAACGCTGAATCAACAATTGTAGAACAAGGGACAGAAAATTCCACTACAACATTCTGACATAATAAATCATTTAATTCTTTACCTTTTGTGTTGGTCTGTTTATATTGTACTGTTTTTATATTGTACTGTCTTTTTCCCAATTGTACAGAATATGTTTGTGCTGTATAAATGCCAGTGATAAATAAACAATACCAAAACTTAATTTTTTTTTACATTACTTGTTTTACTTTATCTTACTTCACACAAGACTATTAATAGAAATATAACACAAAAATTAAGTACTAGGCATACCACTTAAAGGGATAATCACTAAAGTGGGAATTCAAAGGTAATTCAAAGTGACATCAAATTTAAGGTCAACATAGCCAAACTGGAAACATTCTTTAAGTCATCTAGACTTTCAGCCTCGTTACTCTGGCCTCAGAGTTGAAAATCACTTTAAATTCACTTTATTCTCACTTTAGTAAATAAACCAGTTAATTTTACTAATACAGTGGAACCTCGTAACTCAAACTTAATCCATTTGAGAAGGTTGTTCGAGATCCTATTTGTTGGAAAACTAATTCAAATTTTCCCATTAGAATTAATGTAAATTAGATTAATCTGTTTCAGACCCCCAAAATTACAGCATTTCAACACAAATTTTACAGTTTAATAATACCTTACATGCATAAAATCATACAGAAAAATAATAAACACAATGTAAATTAAAAAAAATTTAGCTTCGCTTTACCTGTAATGATGAAAGTTGATGGCGCAAGTTGAAAGGAGAAGATATTATTATGATATTTATAGAGCGCCGTCAAATTCCGCAGCGCTTTACAATGGGTGGACGAACAGACATGTAGTTGTAACCAGACAAGTTGGACACACAGAAACAGAGGGGTTGAGGGCCCTGCTCAATGAACTTACATGCTAGAGGGAGTGGGGTAAAATGACACAAAAAGGTAAGGATAGTATTAGACTAGTGACAGTTGCAGATAAGGAATCAGTCAGGAGCTATTAACAGTTTAATTGATATGCTTTTATGAAGAAGTGGGTTTTTAACGATTTTTTGAAGGAGTGGAGACTGGGTGAGCATCTAATGAAGGAGGGAAGCGTGTTCCACAGGAACGGTAAAGCCCTCGAGAAATCTTGAAGGCGAGCATCAGAGGTGGGAGTACGGACAGAAGATAGACGTAAGTCTTCAGCAGATCGTAAGGGCCTAGACGGGACATACTTGTGTATAAGGGAGGATAGATAGGTGGGAGCAGCATTATGTAGAGATTTGAAAGCAAGAGCCAGAATTTTTAATTGAGCTCTATATTTTATGGGAAGCCAATGTAGGGACTGACAGAAGGGTGAAGCATGGGAGGTGCGGGAGGACAGGAAGATGAGCCTCGCCGCCGCATTCATTATGGACTGTAACGGCGTAAGTTGGGAGCACGTAAGACCACTGAGAAGCGGATTACAGTAGTCAAGGAGAGAAAGGACAGTGGAATGGACCAACACCTTAGTCGCATCTGGCGTTAAGTAGAGGCGGATGCGCGCAATGTTTTTGAGATGGAAATGACAGGATTGAACGATAGATTGAACATTAGGCTTGAAGGAGAGGTTGGAGTCAAAGAGAACACATAGGCAGCGAGCCTGCATGGTGGAGCTGATGGTAGCACCGTTGACTTGCTATTATTGTTTGTTGTTTGTTGTTGTTTGTTATTGTTTGGATGACGAGTCCCCTTCCATAATTACAATAGGTAGCTGTTCTTCTGGCGTTCTTTCCCTTGATCGTTTCACACCAGTGGCAGCTGGTTGAGACTCACTGAACCTTTTCTTCACAAAAAATGTGTCACTTGAGACTTGCATCTTGGTTTTTATATTTGACTTAATGGTTTAAAGTGAAAAGAATGCTTAACTACTCTACCTGGAAACATAGATGTAGCCATTTCTAAAGGCACTTCATGCTTAAAAACAACTTTAGCTTAATTAAGCAGTTTACCGCTGTCTCACTGCTCAATTCTCTGCCCTTTAGGAGTTAAATCACTTGTGTTTCTGCTTATGCAGCCCTAGCCAAACCTTCCCTGGCTGTGACTCATGACTCATGAAAAGAGTGTTTCATTTTCAATCAGATGTTAACTTGCTTTAGAAGTTTTTATCTCCTACTCTGTAAATTGAACTTGAATCACACACAGGAGGCACCTGCAGGATAAAGTATAAACATTAGATTACTCTAAACAGGAAGTGTTTAAGAAGGCTATGTAAGTCACATGCAGAAAGGTATGACAAGGGTATTAAGGAAGCAATTTAACTCCTAAATAGCAGAGAATTGAGTATTGAGACTGCATGGGGCATGATCTATACACCAAAACTGCTTCATTAACCTCAAGTTGTTTTGGTGCCTACAGTGTCCCTTATTAAAACCCATGGAATCACCTTCCACTGGTTATCATTAGTGATGTCGCACACCGTTCGCGACATCACTGGTTATCATGTAACACTGTTAAACAATAATTAAAATCTAATACAGGGGAAGGTGACCCAGTAAGGATTGGGTGTGCTATCCTGATAAATGGAGTTAGTGTGAAAGTTAGATGCTAAATAGTGCTCAACTGGATCACTGGATTCACCAGTCCTGTATAAGAAACTAAATAAAGGAAACACTAAATAAAAAAGTGGGGGGACCAGGGGCTATTATCTAGGATATAAAGGCAGGGAGTGAGAAACAAAAGAAAGAAAGCAATATGTGATAAAAAAGATAAAAACAGATCATTTAAAAATAAAATATCCAGGTGTTCATGCTACTGAATGGCTAATAGTATAAAACACTAAATAAGAATAAACAAAACTTAAAAAAATATGAAACAGGATAGATATGGTGTGGCGGACCTTGTACTATTCCTTTTGGTTGCCCGTTCTACCCCATGTTTCCAGAACTTATTCATGAACTGAACGGAACATGTTTGGTCACTTTTTTATACCTCCCAGAACACTGACCACCCCTGGCTGTTAACTGCAATTAAGTGATTAACCTGAGCGCTTTCACTTTCCCTGGGTGGCCACCACTCGTATAACCAAACGCACGTGTTCCAGTGAATGGAGGCCATTTTGTCTCCCCAAAACAGGCAGTGGTACTTGATCTTCGAATGCATGGAACTCATTTCGGCTATGCGTTCTCACAAACCCAGGCAAAGATTGTACCGCTGCACGTCCCACTTCACGACCAGTTAGACGAACGATGTTCGGGAGATAGGAACTACTGACTGGGTGGAGCATTCGTTACCTAAAAGCCAGGGGAATGGTCAGGGATACGTTTGTGGTCAGGGATACGTTTGTGTTCCTGACCCTATAGTGTTCCTTTAATGAAGCAGTTTTTGAGTATAGATAATGTGCATAGTCTCACTGCTCAATTCAAAAATAGGATTTCATTGTATTAGCTGTATGTAGGCATTACGCTCAATGCAGATATTATTTCATGTTCTGTTGCCAGCTCTCATCAGGGTTCTTACAAATTCCTGTAAGTGGGATTTTCATATTGTTTCTATTCATCTATTTTTGTTGCATCTATTGTGTGTGAAAAACATTGTGTTTTTGCTTTTATATTATTATTTCAGACCCTGTATGAAAATATTCAGCCCATGTGTACATTTTACAGCCCCTTCCCACCTAAATTGACTTAAGGGACACTATAGCCACCCAGACTACTGTATCTCATTGAAGTGGTCTGGGTGTAGTGTCCCACTTAACCCTACAGCAGAAACCATTGCGGTTTTAGTGAAACTTCAATGTTTCCATTGCAGGGTTAAGCCTGCCTCTAATAGCTGTCTACCAGATAGCTGCTATAGGTGCTTCCTGCTAACTGCTAGAAACAAGGCTGGACGTCCTCATGCTTTGCATCTTGCAAACCCCCCAGGAAAGCATTGATTCAATGACTTCACATGGGATGGCCTAATACGTGAGTGTTCCTTTTAGCCCTTCCTATAATAGGCCAGATATAATGCCTTACATCCAACCTTAAAATCCAGTGTTTTCTATAAGTCAAAAACATGAGCACTATTTTTCTAGCTGTTTAATTACCTACTGTGAAATTTCCTGCCTGTTGTTGGACACTGGTACTCTTTAAAGGAAAACTGCAAACTATTGCTTGTTGCATAGGTTAATGCGTTATAATCCAAATCGGCTGCATTAGTACTGATTTAACCTGAACTATATTTCTATGAACACCTGCTATGTAGGGATTGTGGGAAATTCACTACCATAAAAGGACTAGGAGTGGTTGATAAGTCTCAGACACTTAAATGGACACTATAGGCACCCAGACCACTTCAGGTCATTGAAGTGGTCTGCAGCAGTGTCCCATGACTCTTAATCCTGCAAAGGTAATTATTGCAGTTTTTAATAAACTGCAATAATTACCTTTATGAGTTAAGTCCATCTCTAGTGGCTGTCTACAAGAAAGCCACTATAGGGACTTCATTGTCATTAGGCGACTTTTGGTTGCCTTACTGATGCTGGACATCCTAACGCTATGCATGAGGACATCCAGTGTCACCCGAATCCCCATAGGAAGGCATTAAATATATGTATGTTGTGCATGCACATTAGGGCTCCCCCACCAGAGGAGCGAAGGCGGAGCCTGAACCAGCGCCGAGGGACATCAGAGCTGAAATCAACTAAGTGACAGAAGGGTATTTTTCTGCACCACAACTTTATTTTCCTGGCACTATAGTTTCCCTTTAAATGGTTTTTGGAGGCATCACTATATAAACTGGCATTCCTTGTCATCTGTTTGCTGAATTCATTGCCTGTATAATGCAATAAGAAAAAGGGGACGACTATCAAAATAGAGGGGGCTACTGCCAAAAAAGAGGGGACTACTACCACCTGAAGAGCTCCTTTGTATACTGCAGATAGATGTAGGGCTCAGGCTGTGGACTAAAGAAAATAAAGTCTGCACTGTGCTCTTGTGTAAAAATATCATTTTTATAATCGCAAATATCCTTGTAATACTGGTCTGTCACTTCTTACTTTTTTAAGATGTAAGCTTTACATAATACTAACGCTGGCTACATTTGGAATGTCATTGCCAGAATGAAGATGGTGACAGCTGTTAAGGACACCTTCCGGTAACCTACCTTCCACTGCACCCCACGGCTGCTGATACTAGCTAGAGATGGTGGTGTTTACTAAAATATGCAAAGACCCCCTCAAGTGACAGATCCGGTTTAAAATGGCA